TAATGTGTTTCATCCTTATCCACTCCTCCCCTATATAAAGAGGCCATGGGCTCATTTGCAGATCATCCCTTTGAAGTACAACTCAACTTTAACATGTAATTTTTTTCTTAATTGTAATCTGTTGCCCATAGTTTCACCACTGTAGGCAACAGACTTTTGTTCTCTATTAATGAAAGATGCATTTAAGTTGTCTTATATTATGCTTTTCATGTTTATTATAAGCTAATTAGTTATATGGGTGTGAGTTTAACTTAGGATATTTATGAAATAATTGGGTGTTTTTACTCTTTACCACTTTGCAAATTGGTCACCTAAGACAAGACTTAAACACAACGCGGATAAGCCGATCATATTGAAGTGTCAATATTAGATATTTAACCTAGAGATGGGTGGATTCGAAACACGACTTAAGTGATGCACAAAGAACTTGAGAGAGTTTTTTGATAATTATGCACAAATTTTGCATGTATTTTGTAAGGATTAAGTATTGGGGATTTATATTACAAAGAGATTGAGTATAAATTTTATTTCTTTTTCTGTTTAATTAATCAACAAGTTTCAGAGTGGTAAGAGTGAGAACTTTGTGGGATCTATTTATAAATCTTCATTTTCGAGAGTTTGAAATATTTACAAACATCTCATAAGTTTTTGACCATTATATTGTGTTTTTATTTTAAGGAAATACTTACACCCATGCCTATCTTTTATTTTATAAGTCTATTTCATTTATTTCGTATTTAAAGCTTTTTACCAACAAAAATCCAACTTTTATTCACAAATCAAAACATGCTGAAGAAGTTCATGAAAGTCTCCATTTCTCAGTAGTTCAATCCCTGTGGAAACGATCTTGGTATTTTACCACTTTATTACTTGCAAAAGATCATAGTGTCGGCATGCACTTGCATCGCCACTGTGGGGACTTCGTGCCCACTATGTAAACACGAACGATCTTAAGCTACCAGAGATCTTACATGTGTGCTACAACATCAGGGTATGTTAAGTATTGATTATATGTGTGGTGCACATATCATCTGTGTGTAACACCCCACTTTCAACATTTACATGTAAACATGTACTTCATATATAAAGAAATACAAATTATACCACATTGGTCCCATTAGTACAAGAAATTATAATACAAAATTTACAACTCAAGAAATACATATATGAACAACATGTATTTAAAATCCATCAAGTAACATGCTGATCTTCAAAATAGTAGTTAAGCATATAAGAAAAATATTCACATTTCCCCCCTTCCCCTTATCCCTGGACCCAACTGGACCTGCAATGCATAATTTTAAAACACAAAATGAGGGTTAGACCAAGAGCTCTAATGAGAGAACCCTGGTTTGCAATTACAGGGTGAAGATAACCAAATCCTGTTATAAAATCCACATTTGAATACCCAACCATTTTAAATAAATAAATTCAGTAAAATAGCAACTGCAAGTTATAAATCGATCATACCACATAAGAAACATAACCACTCAGGTTCTTACAGACATCTGGAACACAACTCCCAAAGCTCTCAAGCCTCATTACACTAAAGCTTACGTTCTCAATTTCCAAATCATAACAAGAAATACCAATCTCCAGAGTTTTTGGTTATTATCAAAAGCCTTTAAGATAAAAATAGTTATATTCAAGTGAAAACTAATTAAATAATAACCAACAACCCTCCAAATTTTATTTCAAATTACTACTCTTTTGATACTCAAAATAGCATATCTGATATCACAAAATCATTTGAAACACGGTCAATTAATGCCTTAAGCTATAAGCCATTTTCTCCTTCTCAATAACATCGTTGTTATCATTTCAATAAGAACAAAATTTCCAAGTCTTCATGTTACAAAGAAATGTTGACTCAGAATTATCACATCTTACGGATGTGACAACAAGAGCTATAATAGTAACCACACCCACAAATGCCGCTCTTATCCAAATGTACATTTCTACTTGACATGCCACCCTTGTTTCCTCCTCAAATCTACAGATAAATCTGTAGTTTTAGCCAATAATGGCCTCAAATTAGTTTCACATCAGAAACTTTAATCTCAAGAACTCTCAAGTTCTTAAATCCACTTTTCAATCTCATCTAAGTATTTCTTTCAAAAACAGATTTCTTGTTTCAACAGTTTTGAAAGAAACAACAATACTTTTCCTCAATTACAATTCAACATTTGAAAGATACATGTTATTCTTCTCATCACAAAACAATTTTAAACTATTAAACAAAAGTTTGGAAAAACAACAGTTTTCATTGGACATGCCTTGGGCGATAACTCCCCCTCATCAACCTCTTCTCATCGGACAACACATACAATCCAAACAACAATTGGAAAGATAAACATACTCACCAGTCACACCATGTTCGTTAACAACCTCACCGATCAACACTTATAATATAAATAACACAACCGGACAATGCTTTGTCCGATGAGCATCCTCACCGGACAAGACATTGGACGATAAACCCCAATCTGGTCAATCTCTATGTCCGAACACAATCTTATCGATCAATACTTAAAACTCTACACATTTAATCCTTTCATCATATGGGCGATAAATTGCCCAATCCGCTCAACCTTTGTCCGATAAAGACTTTCACTGGACAATACTTCATCCAGTAAAATCCTCACCGAAAAATTCATAAAATACCCAACTCTTACACCGATCAAGGCATGAACATGAAGGGACCCTCTCGGACAACACACTGTCCAATAACCGTCCCTCATCGAACCATGCATTTAGGCAAGAACATTCAACATACGTACAGTTTACTACTATAAACTCATAATATGTAACCTAAAAGTTTACCAATAGCAATATATGAATTCAAAGACTGTTTTTTTAGAAAAACTCACATTTTCAAATTAGAAATGAAAACAACAAACAAGAAGAGTAACCAAATTGATCCCAAATTCAACTTCTAATTTTGGCAAGAAATTCACATCAACTCTCATTTGTAAGATTTTGCACAAAATGCAGGAAACCTTTCTACTTCAAAGCTTCCAACCTTTATACTTTCCATTAAAGGTGGTTGGAAGAATATTATAAATTCTTTTTCCTTCACAAATCCCATGCACACACATATGCACATAAACAATACATAACTCATAACTACATATGCATGCATAATAATATACATACATGTACCCTATGCATGCATATAAAATATGCACATAATCAATCTCATGCATGCATTTACATTCCACATGGATTAATTATAATAATTAATCACATACTCACGTRACCACATAATCACATAGTAATTACCTCAAATGTATAACCAAAACCCGGTTATCACACTGTGATAATCGTGTGATAATTGAATAGTCTGTGATCATACAAGGAACTCGAGTTTAACCTTATCTTGTGATATATAAAGGAAAACCAAACAGTCTATGATAATCGTGTGATTACTCTAGTTTGCCGTTGATAACCATGTGATTACTTGAATTTGGCTATCACACATTGTGTTAAGGTTAGGATAAAGTTAAGATTTTGTCATGTTTAACAATCATCAGTTAACTTATATGCTGTGCAGATGGTGTACCACATGTGATTAACAACCATCATTTATGATAAACAATCAACGGTTAATTTATAGGTTGTGTAAATGACATTTGATCTATATAATATCACAAGTGATCACCTATGATATCAGATATGTACACGCATTACCTATATAAACAATCAATAGTTAACTTATATGGTGCAAAGATGTTATATCACATGTGATAACAATAATTAATCACATGTAATTAACACCAACCCTTTATGATGAATGATCCAATTAGGAAATCCTTTTGTGGTATCATATGTGCTATAGGCACTGATTATTCATGAACATCACTTGATTTTGTATCAACATAATTTATTCTTTTTATGAACATCACATGATTCTTCTATGTTGTGTGAACTCAACCAACTTCAGTTGTAAAACTCGATCACGTTGATTGAATGACCTTGATGAATTTTAATGTTGGATGTCTTTTTTGTTGGTCATCGCAAATGGTTATTGAAGGAATTCCAATCGATAAGAAAATGATTAACATCAAATCCACAGTGATTGATCATGGAAAAAATGTATTCCACCTGGTTTAGGGAAGGTGTGTAAAATCCTCCCAAAAGGTAACGGAGGTGTGCAAAAGTTTTCTCGGGCCGGACAGAGATTGCGGACTACCTGCACTTGGGCAGAAAGACCCTATGAAGCTTCAATAGCAAACATATAATAGCGGATTCTAAATTGTAACCAAGCAGTTTTGGGCATTAAAAAATATTTTTGGCTCAATTTTTTCATCAGGTATGGGTAGAGACCAGAGATCTTGAGTGACCAATCCCGCAAAACAACTCAAAAGATAAAGAAGTATCGTTAAATTCTTCCTGCTCGTTCCAAGTTCAAAATACCAATTGTACAAATAATAACGTTATTAGCATACTAAATTGTAGGGATCATGCCCCTTACATAACTCCTCAAAATAAAAATTACATTAATGCTCTTGACATTTATTTTTTTACTTTAATTTCATTGTTGGATTAAATGATATGGAGGTTTGAGAGGTGTTCTTACGTTTTCACATTTAGGGGGTGTTCTCGTTTGAACTCCTCCATATATATATATATACATATATATATATAGAGAGAGAGAGAGAGAGAGAGAGAGCTTGGTTCAAATACTAACCAATTTTTTTGTGTTAACTATGTTAACCAAGCTCAACCAATCATATTCCATCCTTTTCTTAGGTTCAAATGTAACTCATATATTAAGTACAAGGGTATTTAAGTAATTTATCATTTTATGTAACTCCCAAATAATTAATTGGGAGTTACAAATATGAAAATATCACTAATTGATCATTATGTAATATTGACATTGGGGTTTCACACGTGTTCATGTTCTCTAATTTACATTTATTCTACCTATAATGATATTGATTTTGTAAGTGTCAAAGAAGTTCCTATTGCTAAGATTCCATTATCGTCCGAGGAATATGCATAAACATAGTGTAAAACAAATCGACAACAATGAGAATGAAAAAGTTAAAAGCGTATACGACTACATTCGGAATTCGAGTTCCGAAAGTGAAGAAAATGAAGAAAGCGTTTATATTGGTTAGTGCTTAATATGATATTTTTGATACGTTTAAATGAACAGATCTCACCTTCGAGAATTATCACCTATGTTGCTGGTAATAAATGTTGCTAACATGTTGAACATCATCGGTATATTCTGGTGCTTGATCTGTTCGGAGATTCATTTAGTTTACAGGTACACACACAAACAAATGAACACATATGAAAACTGCAGAAATCACACAAGCACATTACACGTATATTCCATACAACACGTGAAGAGATATGAGGTTCACACACACCGAATTAGATTTTCATACGAAGAGATATTAAGACATACGTGCAGACACACAAACATATGAACAAATATCAAAACATCAGAAATGACATAGCTTTAGACCATGTAGGCGAACATACTAGTAGGATAATTAATTTGAATATACTCCATATGAACTAGAATATCTTATAACAAATACATACAAGACATAAACTTAATGCTTTTTCAGGCCGACTCTATCCTTATGATTTCAATATTTCTTTATCTTCCTAATGATTGAACAGAGGGTATGCCATGCACCAAAAAACTAAACATGATAGAAGTATTGAAATGAAACATATAAAAAGGGTAGACGTCACCCTCTGAGGCACCAAACATATAGTAACTATCATGAATGGGCTTTGCAGCACAGTTGAAGATGTGATTCGTTAGTGTTCAGCTGTATACAAGGCAGTAGATGTTCATATCGATACATATGCACAATCACATCACATGTTAATAAATTTGACCATGTATGCGAACATACTAGTGATGGTACATGAATATGGACAGTAGCTGTTCATAATTTGAACACAAGCTCCATGGATATGTATAATCTGTTTTTTATATGTGTGGTTTGAGGATATAAACAAGTTGTTTACTTGGTTTACGGTATGCATTTTTCTTTATCCTGCTACTCTTTTCGAGTGGTGCATACGATCCGGATTAGTGGCCCATTATATACGAATAACTAGATGGTTTAGGTTGGTGTCACCCTCACCTGTTGCTTGCCAATTGATGCAGTTATTAGTCGCATATATATATATATATATATATCGATATATCTTCTTATGATCCTAAATGTGAAACTTGTCTGTAAACCAACGCATTGCCGCAATCAAAGTTAAGATTACCTTACACAGTGAAGATTTTCTCCAGAGACACTGAAATAGCCTACATTATCTTAAGAGAATCCGGATAGTGTCCATCACAGATGCTATATTAGCTGAATCTTTTGCATTACATACATTACCAGGTGTTTTAACATCTTACACCATTGTAAGATACTGTAATGACAAATCAATAGTTCAAATTGTCAGCTGCATACACATTTTTTTTGCAAACTAGGAGAGAACTGCTATATACGCACACAATCAGAACATGTTAACCTGTGTGAGCACGTATGAATACAAACTGCATTTTGATGTCGCTTGTGCATACGTGCTCATGTATTCCAATAGTTTAATATCCTGATTATACAGGTGCTGTTCCAACAGTTGGTACTTCTAGACAACATTAACAATTTGAGGTTCGGGATGGCAAAAAATATATAATATCACTTTGTTGTCAATTTCACTATAGTCACCTGGTTGTTGCTCTTTTTAACACTCGAGTTTATGTAATACTAATTTTAGTTTCGAAAACTATCTACATCTTTGATCATCAGGTTTTGATAATCTCGCACCTTCACAGCACGAAATTGACTATGATATAGGCGAGAGTTCAGAAGGAAGCAAGTATTTTATCCCAATTGTTGATGACGCGCTTAAGCCAAAGACCAACGCACAATATGCATCTATAAATGAGGCTGAAAAGATGTTCAGAGCTTACGCGGACAATGCCAGGTTTAATGTTCGTATACATGCAAAAAAAAAAAACAAGCACGGAGACATTCAAACTAGATGGTTTGTGTGTAGTAGGGAGGGAAACCCAAATAAGAAGCACTTTGAATCTATGGAGATTCAGCCCGGTGAGAGGAGATACCGCAATACGAACCTTAAACATTGTGGATGTAATGCATGTATAAAAATCCATTTGACGAAGGATGAGGCTTGTTACGAGATATACGAGTTTGTTGAGGCACATAACCATACATTGTTAAATATTAACGATCGTCGTTTCTCTAGGAAGAATACACAGATGAAGTATACAGATTTCAAAACTGTACTAAACAACTCGAGTTACAAAGTCGGTGCGAGAAGGGTACACCGTATTCAAACGACATTGAACGAGGGATTTGAGCATACTCGAGTTTCAGAAATTGACTTCAAGAATTTTAAGAGGGATGCTGCTGCTTGTGTTGGGAATAAGGACGCGAAGATGTTGATCAATAAACTATCAAACAAACGGGATATTGTCCCAGGTAATTTCTTCGAATACAAGTGCAATGAACAGGAGTTGATCGCAATTTTCTGGGCAGATGAAGTTGCTAGAATTAACTACAAAGAATTCGATGATGTCATATCATTCGACGGAACGTTTTATACGAACAAGTAATATTCCAGATTGCGATAAAGTTTTTAAAGTTTATTACGCGTTGCTATTTTATGGGCACATGACGTGGCTAGAACTAGATACAACTAATTGGTTGATATGTGTTTCAGGCATGCCATGATTTTTGTTCCTTTTTTGGCTGTTGACAATTACAAGGCTTCCGTTGTTGTCGGATCCGCTCTAATAAGTGGCGAAATGATTGAGAACTTTACATGGGTTCTAAATGTTTTCCTAAAATGTCATGAGAAGCAACCAATTTTCGTTATTACAGACCAATATTCGGCAATGAAACAAGCTATTCCGATGGTGTTTACGAAAGCCAAGCACAGACTCTGTATGTGGCACATTATGAAGAAGGTGCCTTCAAAGGTAAGTAGTATGTATGGAATGCTATTATTTTTAAATGAGGTTATTGTTTAATGTTTCATTAGTGGAAGCCATATACACGCAGGTTAGTGTCGCACTAAATCAAGATCCTATGTTTAATAAAGTTATCAACAAGCTCGTATGRAACATACATATTGGACCAGCGGAGTTCGAGAGTCGTTGGCATGAGATGATCGATCAATACAATCTAGATGGTGATCCTTGGTTCACATAAATGTATGCCATTCGACACTCATGGATTCCTGCCTTTTACAAGGACACGCCGATGTCTGGTTTAATGAAAACAACCTCAAGATCTGAGAGTTCGAATTCGTATATTAATATATACGAACCGTACTAGTTTGATTTGGTTCAATTTCTTAATAATTACGACGTAGCTATAGAGAAATTAAGATACATACAATCTGTTCACGAAACAGTAACGAGAACCACTAATCCAAAGTTTGTTACTCCACTACGTTTAGAAAGTCATGCATCAAGTATATAGAGGCGAAATGTGTTTTTTGACATACAAAAGGAAATAAAGAAGGTTGTATGGTTCTATGCTATAGAGACCGTCGAATGCCAGGATGATTTCAAGTCATTTGTAATAAGCCATAAGACCAAGAAATCATCCGACAACATCACCTATCTGGTATCATATCCCTAACTCACACAACAATGTTTTTTATGTTATTTTATTTTATTTTGATTGTGGTTGTTTGCATACTTTTTCACTTTAGGTGTGCCGTAATAATTCAACAAACACCGTCGAATGCGAGTGCAACCTATTCACGCGTAACGGGTATCTTTGTCGTCACGCGTTCAAGGTACTGATAAACGATGAAGTTGAATGCATTCTAGATAAGTATGTTTTACATTGATGGAGACGACAATTAGTCCCAGTACAGATACAATCCGCAAGAGTTCGTTATGGCGAGGTTGATGCCGAGAAAGATAAGTGTGTAATTGATGTCTATTCGAAGGTCGACGACATAATAAACAATGCCCGAAATGATAAGTCTATATTGGCTAGATTGGAGCGGAATCTCGACAAATTCATGGTTGATATAGAGAAGGAAGTTCCATATGAAGGCCCATCCCAACAGAAGTTGGATGCAATTAGAGATCATCTAGGTGTTTCCATACCTGATGAGGTGGACATTCTACCACCATTTGGAAAAAGGAACAAGGGTTGTGTAGTAAGAGGCTGGTAAGTGTATCTGAGAAAATACAGACTAATAGTAAAAAAGCAAAACGAAAATGTGCAACATGTGGACAACGTAGTGGTCATGACTCACGTAAATGCCCAGAACTGATAGATTAGTTAGAATTCAAGTATTTAGAAGTGTTATCGTTTCGGTGTAATTTGTTGACCTCAAACTTACATACGTTTATGCAACATCTTGATCTTATGTTTTAGATACGATATGCCACTACAAATTCTTGTTAGTTGTTGGGTTCAAGTTAGTGCTTTAATATTGTATTCAAGTTTCTCCTTAGTGTAATTGTTTTGTAATAGTTTAGCCTTTACAATTTCCTAGTATAAATAGTGATTTTCTTGTAATTGTCATTAACAATCGTCATTAGCAGATTTATCAAGATTAGTGCTGTAATTCTCTCTCTCTCAATCTAATCATCCTTTGATCATATTCTTTCTATCTTTGATGTTCATCATGATTCTTGAAGATTGATTCATGTTTGTATGATTTATGGACTATCAATTGGTATCAGAGCAAGCTGCAGCAGTTTGGATTTGAAGATATATCCATTTTACACATTTTTCTGCATGATTTTTAGAATTTTTATCGATCTGTTCTTCACTGTTCTTGAAAATTTTTTCGTCCGGATTGGGGTTTTTGAGCCTAAATCGTTCATTTTTGGAGTGTTAATTGTAAAGATTTGTATTGTTAGATTCAGTTTTACATTTTAAACAATCTTGATTCACACCATTTTGCATTTTAAACAAGTTTTAAGGCTGAAATAGTCGAAAATCGATTTTTAGCTTTCTGGAAAAAGTTCTTAAAAACTCATATTTTTTCATGTTTTGATCCAAAWTTTTGGTAAAAAGTGTGAAATTTTATGTTTTTTCTTGAATCTTTGTCCGTTTAAAGCTTGTGCGGTTTAACATCCGTGTGCTTCGAGTTGTTTTGATATAGGATATACCGGACATCATTTGGGTGGATACATTGACCGGTTTAGCTAATCCGGCTGACAAACCGTTGATGCTTTGTGCGGATTAGTTGATGCTTTGTGCGGTTTAAAGAATCCGGTTGATAAACCGTATAACTCTTGAAAGGTTTAGTGTGCGGTTTAAAAATATACGGCTGGTAAGAAATTTGTAACCTGTTCGGATATTGAACGGTTTAAACAATCCGAGTGGTAAGTGTGTGCGGTTTAGAATCCACTTGGTAAGTCTTGGACTTTTGAGCGGTTTATTTCTACAATCGTATATATCTTGGACGGTATTAAATTGAACGGTGTTTGACTTTGATCGGGTTAAGTGTGTGATTCTTTGAACAGTGTTTGAATTCTTTTGATCGGTTTAATAAGTTTGATTTTTTTGATCGGTTTAATTGTTTGACTTTTTGATCGGTTTATTAAGTTTGACTTTGTGATCGGTTTAAAATCTTACTCTGAGCGATTTATCTTTGTGCGGTTTATGTCTATGTGTTGCCCGGATTTCTAATTCGGATAACTAGATAAATTTGTCCATCTTTTTGACCGGACTTGTAAACCGGATAATCTTGTGCGGATTACTAATCCGGACAAGTGCTTGTGCTTAATTGTCTAAGTGTTGAGTGTGTGCTTATTCAAGTTTACACTTTATCAGACATATTTTTTAGTAAACTAATCTTTTAAATTCAAACTTTGAACTGCAGTTGATCCTATTTTTCATACAAACTGAAAAGATGAGTTCAAAAGAAGCAATGGCTATCGGTACTGATACCAAGCCACCAGTTCTTTTTCGTGGTGACTATAATCAATGGAGAGACATATTTTTGAACTTTATTGAAAGGATGAAAGAAGGAGAACTGATTATGAAATCTCTATTGGAAGGTCCAGCTGAATTCTTTATAGAGGTAGAAGCTGATTTAGTTGCAGGCATACCTGCACATAAATTACCTAAATTGAAATATCAATATTCAGCTGAAGATAAAGAAAGAGCTCATGCTGATGTGCTTTGCAAATCTTATATGATGCAAGCACTGACCAATGATATCTACACCAGTATTGACAGCTATAAATCATCTGGTCACAGCATGTGGGTTCAGATAGAAAAGATGATGATGGGTTCGAAAGTTGGAACTCAGCTAAAGATTACAAATTGTATTTCTGCATATGAAGAATTCAAGGCTAGAGAAGGAGAAAGTCTTGATGATGTTTATAACAGACTTGCCAGACTGCTGAATGAGCTGACAAAGAACGGAATTTCCAAAACTACTATAGAGATAAATGTTAAGTTTCTTAACAATCTCCAATCAGAGTGGAAACCATTTGCTAATCATATCAGATTTAACRAACAGTTATCTGATATTGATATTCATGAAATATATGAAATTATAAAACAGAACGAGCAGGATGTTTTGGAGATCCGTAATGCAAAGAAGAAAGAGAAGGAAGTTGTTGATCCTTTGGCTCTCGTATCTGAGAGAAAGGAGAAGAAATACAAAAGCAGATCTGGAAAGAAAGTTAAAGAAGTTAGTCAATCAAGTGAGTCTGAGTCAGAAGAAAGTAACAGCTCAGAATCTGATTCTGAAATGTCAGAAATAAAGCAAGCAATGGCAATGCTGACCAAAGCATTCCAGAAAAAGTTCTCCAAAAGGCCACACTCGATCAATCAGAGATTCTCGTCAGGCTCAAAGTATGATTACAAAGACAAATTTAGAAAAACAAGTGGCTCAGCTGGAAAAGATTTCAAACGAAGAAAGGCTTTCATTTGATAACCAAAAACAAGAATTTTTAAATAAAATTGAATCTTTAGAAAATTCTATCAAGAAAACGGAACAAGCTGAGTCTAAGTATTTCTCGTGCGACAAATCTTTATGTGAAGCTAATGACTCAGAAGAAATAAATGCATTTAATGAAGAAATTAATTTTTCAAATATCTTAAATTCAGATGTCTGTTTAGATGATGATGTTGATAAGTTTAACTTTACRAAKGATTTACCCAGTCATGAAGAATTTATTGTTAAAACCAATATGACTGAGTATTCTGATTTACCTTCAGACTTTACAAACAATTTTATTGAAAAACCTGT